ATTCTCTGCTTTCAGCCAATATCCATCTGACATCAGCAATGATATCCCTTGTTCCACATCTTCTTCTGAATCCAGCTTGAATTTCTGGCAGTTCCCTGTTGATGTAGCCATTGCAACTGCTTTTGCTTACCCTCAGCAAAATTTTACTCATGTGTGATGTCAATGATATGTTCAATAATATCCACATTCCATTCCATCACCTTTCTTTGGAATGGGCACGAATATGGATCTCCTGCAGTTGGTTCACGAGGTAGCCATCTTCCAAATTTCCTAGCATAGATGAGTGAGCACCTCCACAGCTGCATCAGTTTGTTGAAACGTCTCATTTGCTATTCTGTCAATTCCTGGAGCCTTGTATTTTGCCAATGCCTTCAGTGCTGCTTGGACTTCTTCCTTCAGTACCATTGGTTCCTGATCATACGCTACCTCCTGAAATAGTTGAACACTGACCAGGTCTTTTTGGCGTAGTGACTCTGTGTATTCCTTCCATCTTCTTTTGATGCTTCCTGTGTTGTTCAATCATTTGTCCATATAATCCTTCAAAATCGCCACTTGAGGCGTGAATTTTTCTTCAGTTCTTTCAGCTTGAGAAATGCTGTGGGTGTTCTTCCTTTTTGGTTTTCTATCTCCAGATCTTTGCACATTTCATTATGATACTTTACTTTGTCTTCTCAGCTGCCCTTTGAAATCTTCAGTTCAGCTCTTCATCATTTCTTCCATTCAGTTAGCTACTCTACCTGCAAGAGCAAGTTTCAGAGTCTCTTCTGACATCCATTTTGGTCTTTATCATTACAGACTACTAACCCATTGTCGTCAAGCCGATTCCAACTCATAGCCACCCTACAGGACAGAGAACTGCCCCATAGGGTTTTCACTAAATCTTTACAGAAGCCGACTGGTGGGTTCTCCCACGGAGCGGCTGGTGGGTTTCAACAGCCCAAAGAACAGTCGACCTTTCCGTTAGCAGCGTTTTAACTACTGTGCCACCAGGGCTCTTTTTACAGACTACTAATATAGACTATGCCGTATCTATTTTGTTTGAAACGTGTTTAGTGCTTGGACTAGCTTCAAAGGAAGATCCTAACAACAAATAAAAGAAATTCCACAATGCAACCCCAGGGGGACCAAAATGTAATATGGAGTTGGGGTAGTTTTGACGAAAAAGATTAGGCTAGGCAGCGTGAGCATATGCGGACACGAAAGCACGCTGGGTTATTGAAAAAATACGGGAGGGGAAAAAAGCGTTTCCCCAGAAGTCTGGGACTCACTTTTGGCTTGAAAAGGTCGGAGAATAGAACGAAAAACACCGGAGAGCAAACGTGGCTGCCATGGGGAGAAAGATTATCACTCGGCCGCCAGGAGTCAGCGCCAGATGATAACTTGGAGACTCTCCCGCCAAACCGCACGCCGGAAGGTGGCAGCTCTCGCGGGTAGAACCACCTCCGCCTCCCCGAACTCCGCGACAGGCTGAGGGCGGGGCCGCCGGAGGGACTTAACCCGCAAAGCATTCTGGGATTCGTAGTGTTTCTCCCTCATCAGCTCGTCCAGGCAGGGAGGCCTTACTTTATGTAAATGACCCGCCGTTCCCGACTCTGCTTCCCTTTCCTCCCTTTCCTCCCCCCAACCTTTTTTCCGGGACAGTTTGAAAATTCCCGCGGAGCCGGGGCCGAAGGCCGGAACACTCGCGAGAACTCAGGTTCCCGCAGCCGCGATCTGCTTTCATTCTCCCCTCCCTCTCCACCCTCCTTGTTCCCTCCTCTCCTTTTCTTTCCCCTCCCCTCCCGGCTATGTAGGACTCGGTCTGTCTGCCCAGGGTAATGCGCAAAGCAGGGCCAACCCTGCTGGAGCTCAGGAGGTCGAGTTGCGAGGAGCAGGACCCGGCACCGCGGCGCGGACAGCGGCTGCATTGTAACCGCTGAGGGGTCTGCCAGCTTGCAATCGGCGAAGGCACCCTCGGGGGTGTGGATCTGAGACAGGCAGGGTCGGGGGAGGCCGGATCCGAGAGAAGCAGCTTCCGCGGGGCGGAGGTGTGTGCATACAGGCTGTGGCGGCCGTGTCTCCTGGGAGATGCTGTGACGGATCCGTGCGGGAGGAGCTCTCGCCTCGCCTCGCGCCCCACTGGACTTGGTGGCCGCGGCGGCTCGGTCACCCCCTTCTGAGGTAGGGGGAAGGGAGAAGGGGGGTTGGGCCGGCGTGGCGGAGGAGGGGTCGGCGCGGCCTGGGATGCGAGCTGCGTCCGGCTGCGCCCTCTGTGCCGCGCCGCGCCCGCCCGGCCTCCGCGCGCCTGGCCTAGGCCCGGCTTCTGCGCGCCGGCGAGCAGCCGCGGCCCGCCTCGCGCATGGTGCTCGAGGGGGCGAACTCGAGCGATGCTGGGTGCTGCACGCTCTAGGGCTCGGGGGTTGCGTTATATAACCAACTCCCGGGAGAAACGGCGGCACATGGCGGCGGAGACGCTTCGCGGGGTTCACCCCCCGCGCCGGCCTCCGGGTCGCCTCTGGCCCTGGGCGGGCCTGGACCGCGGTGCCCCTTCGCCACTGTTGTTCTCCGGTGCGGTTGAAACCTTGGCGGGTCTTTCTGTTAGAGAAGCCGCTTGTACTTTGAGTTCATCTTCCGTTGGAGTGTGCTCCACATGGTCATGGGCCTGGCTAGGGTGAGTCCAGGGCGGGGAAGAAGTTGCAGTTTGACTCGTGATTTGAAACGTGAGGCACGTATTCAGTGAATTGATCAGTAGAGGAGATTTAAAATAAAAATTCGTGTGGGGTGGGTGTATCATTTTGCCTTATTTGTCCCCACTTGGAAATTGAAGTCAGTTACTTCTGTTGTTGGCTGACTGCTTTTTGTGGGGGATAGGTTAATTTTGTTCTCAAAACCAGTGAGGTTCATATTAGATGTGTACGGTTATGTAAAATGAGCGTTGTTTATTTATTTTATTTTATTTTGTACTAAATAGAGTTTTGGAAGAACTTTGATCTTTTTTAGAACAAAATATAGTCTTTTGTCAGTTCTAAACTTCGATTTATTCTCAGAATACCACAAAGAGCCTGTAGATTTTAAGAACCGTCTTTCATCAGCTCTCACAGATTTGGGTCTGAAAGGAGAAAGGAAATTAGTGTAAGTTTACTTATTTTGGAGGATTTGACCAGGGATGACAAGCTCAGCTCAAGTTAATACTTGAGGGGTGCTCTAAGTGTGCTAGGATGCTCTACACATTTTCTCTGTACTGTGATTTTTTTTTAATCTTAATTTTCCAATAATCCAGTACCAAAGTGTCACCAATTCTCAAAGAAACAATAATTATTTCAAAAAAAATTTTAAGAACATTGTGATCAGTCACATAACAATGTATGTATAAATTTTTGTATCGGAAAACATTTTTAAAAAAGAGTATTGTCATCAGCAATTTCAGGGCATATATAACTTGATTTAAGAGAATACATTGTTTCTGGCTTTCACTCATAATTGTAATCGTGAACATTTCCGAGGACTCTTTTTTTTTTTCAGAATAAAATGAAACCTAAATTCCCTTAGGTTAGCTAAGAGGTATCTACAATAAGTCGATTCTGCTATATAGCCTCATCTATCCACAAATTTTATGCTTCAGCTATTCCAGACTATTCACCAATCCTGGACCCATTTTCTTGAAGATGGATTTTGATGTTCCTTTGCTTCTGTCCTTCATCCTGGAGTACCATCTCTGCCTTTTTCAAATTCTCAAATTTCAAATCCTCCTTAGCCTAAAGCCGCCTTTTCTATGTAGTCTTTCATTTCTCTTTATCTCACTTCTTCCCTGGGATCTCACAGCATGTACCTTTATTGTAGCATTTATTTCTTTGTGACTGATATTCTAGTGGTTGATTATATATCTCCTCGTCCAGAATGTAAACTCCTTTTCTAGATTGTAAACTTCTTGAGGTCAGGAATCTTTCTGCCCTTGCATTCCCTTCTCAAGACAGTATTTTAGAAGTAACCAAAACCAAACCAGGCCCATTCCTGTCAAGTCAGTTCTGACTCATAGCAACCCTGCAGGACAGAGTAGAACTGCCTAGTAGGATTTCCAAGGGGCGGCTGGTGGATTCGAGCTGCCGACCTTTTGGTTAGCAGCCTGAGCGCTTAACCATTGTGCCCCCAGAGCTCCATTTTAGAAGTAATGGGTGATTAATAAATGTTTGAATTAAAGAACAAGTAAAAGGCTGGAAGTTTCTGGGTCTACTGATAGTTTACCCTTAAATCATAATACTTAGGGTCTTTTTTTTTATTAGTCAAAAAGAAAAAAGTTAAAATTATATACAAAATATTTGCTCAGAATGTGTTGGAATATAATTATTGAGCAACTAGATTGGAGGTCCATTTTCTGCATTTAAAGGCAGCTACTTCAGGGTTGTGTGTTTTTCACACAGTAAACTGATTTACAGTGTTCTGTTTTGATATCTTTCCTAGTAATTTTATGAGTTTTGCTTTTGCGTCTTAATACTGAACAATTGTATACTTAAAAATAAGTAGGGACTAAGATTAAGTTTTTAAAAATCGATTTTATTGTTTAACATGCTTATCCCATTTCCCTGTTAGTACCCCGATACTATCCTGCTATCCTAATTTACCACGTTTAGGATCTCTTAGTTGCAAGACCCTGTGGAATGCTCAAGAATAAGACATGATGATTTTTGTCTTTTAGGAATTCATAGTGTAGTGGTGAAGATAGAAGCAGACACAAGTAATGATTTTTAAAAATGGGATTTAGGATTGGTAACATGAAAGTGGAAAAGGGTGAGCTCAGAGGTGAGACTAAGTAGGAAAAGATTGATCTACCCAGAACATACTAGGAGGCTAGTCCATGAATGATGGTGGAGCTTTGGCAGATGGAGATTGAGGAGGGACCAGCATAAATAGAAGAGTGAAAGTGCAAGCTGGTGAAGGAAGTGGTTTTAGGAGACAGAGCTTTGTTGAAAGTCTGCCACTGCCAAGTTGAGGAGGGCCTAGAATGTCTATAGTAGAAGTGTTTGTTTTTACGTGTAGTAGGGAGTCATTGAAGGTTTTTGAGGAGAGGAATGGCATAATGCGTTTGTGCTTTATCAAGAAAATGACCAGTTTTTTCTATTGACAACTGGCAGAATGTTCCTGCCCTGCCTATCTAAACCATAGGAATGAGTTGAAACTTGGTTAATTTTCTTTTCAGAGGTTGCCAATCCTGGCCTGTCGTAAAGGCTACAATACTGAACATAACTGCTTAATGTGCATTTTTGCATATATATACCTTTATGTGAGATATTCTTTTCTAATAATAGTTATTAGAAGTTCTCTTCAGTATGCTTAAAATGTTAAATTTTACCCTAAATTTGGGATTTGAGAGGTTTTGAAACCAATTTTTTGCCCTGTAAATTCAATGACTAACTCCTAAATTTGGAAACTTTTTTCTTTTATTCATTGAACATTTTTTGAACTCCCATGTGCTAGCTACCATGGTAAGCCTGAAGTCAGAGATATAATATTCTCCTGTTGTAGCAGCCTAACTGTGAAAGGAGGAAAGACAATATAGAAGTACAAGATTACATGTGTATACTAGTAGTTGGTGGAACCTGGATTCAGAGCCATTTCTCTCTGATTCAAGTTTGTGCCCTTTCCAGTACTCTGGATGGAACCCATGATTATTGTAGTACTTAGTGTTTCGCAGACACCAAGGGCTTTGAGAATATTTTTTCCCTCTTGAAATAGGCATCAATATATTATGGACATTTGAAAACATTTAATTCCAGTGGAATTAAATAATTACCAGAAAGTAAGTAAATTTCAGTGGCTTTGTGAAGCCAAGTCAAATTGACTTGAAGGACCCACAAGTGAATTATAATTGAGACAATTTAATAAAAAGGGGGTGAGATAAAGGTAGGGGAACACTTAGAAGGGGGCCGATTCACTGAAAGTGGAAAACCACCTGTGGATTCTGCCTGTCATTTTATGCATTCAGCATTTTGTTGTTGTTTGGTGCCGTGAGTCAGTTCCCACCCTATGTACAACAGCTCTAACCCAGACATAGCGAGCCTGTGTACAACAGAACGAAACACATCCTCACAATCGTTGTATGCTTAAGCCCATCGTTGAAGCCACTGTGTCAGTCCATTTCTTTGAGTGTCTTCCTCTTTTTTGCCGGCCCTCTGCTTTACCAAGCATGATGTCCTTCTCCAGGGACTGATCCCCCCGATAACATGTCCAAAGTATGTGAGACATAGTCTTGCCATCCTTGCTTCTAAGGAGCATTCTGGTTGTACTTCTTCGGAGACAGATTTGTCCAGCTTTCACATGCATATGAGGCGATTGAAAACACCATGGCTTGGGTCAGGTGCGCCTTAGTCTTCAAGGTGACGTCTTTTCTTTTCAACACTTTTAAAGAGGTCTTTTGCAGCAGATTTGCCAAATGCATTGCGTCCTTTGATTTCTTGACTGCTGCTTCCATGGGTATTAATTGTGGATCCAAGTAAAATGAAATCCCTGACAACTTCAGTCTTTTCTCCATTTATCATGATGTTCCTTATTGGTCCAGTTGTGATGATTTTTGTTTTCTTTATGTTGAGGTGTAATCCATACTGAAGGCTGTGGTCTTTGGTCTTCATCAGTAAGTGCTTCAAGTCCTCTCCACTTTGAGCAAGCAAGGTTGTGTCATCTGCATAATGCAGGTTGTTAATGGGTCATCAGCATTTTAGCATATAGTAAACACTTACTGTCTATGTGAATTCCGAAATACTCAGAATTGATAAACTGGTTATTCATTGATAAACTGGGAGGTAAGAAAGGAGTGGGATCACTGAGGAAATTTTAACAGCTTCAAGGAACATTGGTGGCACAGTGGTTAAGTGCTTGGCTACTAACCGGAATGTTGGTGGTTCGAACCTACCAGCTGCTTCACGGGAGAAAGATGTGGCAGTCTGCTTCCGTAAAGAGTACAGCCTTGGAAACCCCGTGGGGCAGTTCTGCTCTGTCCTGTAGGGTCTCTATCAGTCTGAATCGACTTTATAGCACACAACAACATAATCTTTAAATCCAAGTTTCAAAGGATAGCACTGAGTTAACATTGTTATAGTGTTAACCTTTTAGGGAACTATCTGGACCATAGCTCAGATCTTTTGGAGTACTTGGGACTTTTTAACATATGAAAACATGATAAAAATTTG